TTCGGGCGACAATTCTTATAAAATGAAAAATCCATTATGTGTTATGATGCAGGAAGTAGCCAGTCACCCTAGTAGAGCCTGTCTGCTAGGGAAGAGGCAATGGATGTCCCTATGGAGTCCACACACCTGACGCCGAACCTCCCGCTGACCAGATGTCCACGTTCACAATTGAATGTCCCACAACCATTCAGTCTTGGTTAAGGGGGTCACCTTTTGTAGGCTGCCTATTCGGTCAGGCACAATGGTCTTGACTGTAGAAAGGTTTGCCAGGTCAGAGGACTTACCACCTGAGTGCGCCCTTTTCACTTGTAAGGCTAGACCCAGAGACTCACAAGGGGGAACAGCTGGTGGGCTCTACTGCCTGAGAGTTTTAGCCACTACAGCCCTAAGTCTCCGTTACCCTCGACCCACTGTGAGTTTTTTGTTAGTATGGTTGCAGCTCAAGCCTGTGGGAACATCATGATCGCTGTTGCCACCCACTACTTTATCTTCCGTGAACTGATAACACCTCATTCCACTTCTTTATGTGTAGTATCTAGCGTTGCATTTTCCAACAGAGTGACATTACCACCTCCGCTGATGTAGACTGAGCAAAGATGACCAGCTGAACTCACCCCAGGTTCACTTTGTCTAAGTACCCCAACAGATACCAATCAGTGTCAATGGTCGTGCTTTTGTGAACCACTTCCGCTTGTTGGAACAGGTTGCCATTCTTGTCTGAGTATGGCAGTGCCAGGTCTTTGAGGCTGGCTGATCCCTGTTCTGTCACTTTGGCTCTGAACTAAAGAATAGCAAGTGATTCAATCCACTTCATCGTAACCTGTGTTTTTTAAACAATTGAGATTGTGGAATGTAGCAGTGGTCAAAAAACCATTAAGACAGTGTCCTTCAAATGACACTCAAGTTCATTGTGCTGAGCATTGCAGATTGTCTCCTTAAATTTTAACTTCTTAGTGTCAGAATCATCTCCAAGTTGTTGATTGATACAGCTGTCTTCTGAAGATGTATAGCATTTGAGTGACTGTATAACTGTCTTTGAGTTGTGTAGTGCTGTCTTCTATCTCATATCAATACTGTGTCAGGTTTATGAAACTTGCAATTTGAATCTGAAAAGATGATGCCTCTTTGAGACCGCTGTATTGTAAATGAGATATCTATTGAGACTTCACTGCTTTGACATTGTTGCACTCCATGTGGGGAGGATTTCATCCAGTGTGAGTTTGCTGCTAGTTTGGCTGCAACTAAAGCCATCGAGAAAATCTCTGTTGCCATCCACTGCTTTATCTTTCGTGCATGTGACAGTAACAGACTGTTAAGGCAGGCTGAGAAAGGTGAAGACAAGGATGCAGAGTGGCAAGATTCACTGGGAAGGTCACGGGTAGTGAGCATTCTTTGGATCTTTTCTCTAGGATATGCCGGTGTAGTAGGTAATGAACAGACAGACAGATTGGCTGGATCTGCACCACTAGATGGTGAATTGATGCATTACAAGGCAGATGTGGTGAAGGCCCTTTGGGAATAAGCAACAGAATCAGTAGAGAAACAAGATTATTATGGCCTGGAGAGAATGAGGCACGGTTGTAACCAGAAGGTCTGGCTGGCTCACTACACTCAAAGGAAAGGCAAGACGGACATATAACTAGATTCTGGCTGGTACTATCAGTATTGTAACTCTGCGCTGGCTGCTGAAGATGAGGACGAAGCATGCATGGGAATGACCTGAGTGCTGTGATGTCAATTTTTGACTCAGCTCAACTCAACTCTTTATGTTACTGGGATGTTCAGCATCTCAGTTAACAATTCTTTTATTTAAAGAACACCACAATACTGCTGCCTTATCTGGGTTAATGATAGAACGAGTTTCCTAACATCACTCCTGTACCTTATCTGTCACAAAATATAATTCTCTAGATATTTCTGTTCTATTTCTCCCCTGTCTGTAGACTAAAAGATTAACAGCTAAAGTCAAAATTCCCTCAGACTACTGACTGCCTATCCTTCATGTGTACACATTAAAAAACACCAGGAAAATGGTGGATCCTTGGGGGAGGCCAGGAGCGATACTACAGGGTTCAGAGCTCCACAAGCTTAGGTGAAAGACAGTCTGTCATCAGTATAAGACTGCTGCAATCCAGTTGAGGATCCCTGGATACTTGAAGTCTTTTGCTTGCTTGAGTTGTTGGTTCATAGTGACTTCATGTGGCTCAAATCAGCTGCATTTTCATTAAAAACAAAAACAAAATTGCAAGGTGTCAGATTGCAGTTATAGACTGACGAACTGTAGAAATTTTGTATTTATCAGTAAAATTTGAATCGCAGGTGAAGAATAGTCAGATAACTGTAATATCTTAACTGAAGAGTTTCTTTTGCACCAGTGTGGTCTAGATGTTTGCACCTCATAGCATTATGAAGGTGAGGGGTAATCTTTAGGTAATGTTTTTCCCATGTGGTGCATTCTCAAGGTAATTAGAGTAAAGTGGTTAATATGACTTTAGAACTGCCCACTTGTTAAGCTTCTCTTGGCCGCCTGATGATGAATGTCTCCATTGTGATAACTGCACTTTGGTTTCTGTGTGGTACCCATGTCTTATCATCAGTGATCATGGTATTCTGGAAGTAGATGTCACTATTTCTGCATTCTGGATAGAGTTGTTTTTCTCCATTGTTAATTGTTTCCATACTACTCGCTTCTGCATTACCAAAGCCCACATCAGATTAGTAATCTTTTCATTTCAGCTTTTTGAGGGCCTACTAGAAATTTGTTTATTTTCCATAAATGTATGCCCATTTTAAAATGATTTGACCACTCCTTAATCAACGTGATGCTCGTGGCATTCACAGTAAAAGTCTTTTTAATTTTCATAATGGTTTCGACTTGGATATTGCCAAATTTGTTAGCAACATGTGTTGCTCATATCGTTCTATTATTTCATGGCAAATGTGAATCTGGTGAGCACCACATTAAATGACTCACAGGCTGACTGTCGACAACTGACACAAAAATATATAATGAAAATTAATATATTAAATATTGTCACCCAACACTAGTGTCACAACACTTGATTTTTTCTTCCCACTAGTATTACTGTCTATCTATTGCTCTCTTGTCTTCAACTTTTACTTCAGTATGGTCTTTAAAAGAGTTGTATGTCTTTAAATGTGGCAAAAATATTTCAACTTTTAAAACATTCCCAGTATCTTCGGAACATTTATATACACATATCTCCACATTCTTTTCTGAATGTCTTTCTAACAACTATCATCTTCTAAAACGACACATTATATATGTGTGACATCAAGTTATTTTGTCATTGTCATACTAAATGCAAGATGAAACCTGATGGGCCTTTGACTAATATTTCATTTTTGTCTGTGTAACGTATAAAATAAAAATAAATCACAAAGATTTAGGTTTAGTGTTTGAAATTTATATTTTGTGTTTTTCTCTGCAGGATCTCAACCTACTGTATTTTTATAACCTCTTTTGTCATATCCTGCAGGTGTCATTAAGCTGTCTATTTTATGTAATGGATGAATCAGTTTAAACCATCTTTTAGGGAGCAGATTCCTGGCATTTTTTACTCAGTCAAAACACTGATTGACAAAAACACAGATGAAGGTGATGCTATAGTTTACACAGATGGGTCAGTAATTCAGGGCAAGTGAAGTGCATGGGCATTCACAGTAAGCTTGAGGGGGAAAACCATCAAGGAGATGAATGGCATCTTTGTTGTTACAACTAGTAGCCGTACAATGGAAACTATGGCTATAACAAGGGCATTAGCATGGCTTGGTACTCAAAAGTTCACACACACATATGCATTCTTAGTGACTCGATGAATATGCTTTAAAAAATCCAAGATGGATTTATCAGGCAAGAATGGATTGCAACATTAAGCACTTCACGAATATCTACCCTAACCTTCATCTTTGTGCCAGGTCATGCAGGTGTTCAAGGGAACAAGCGTGCAAACTATCTTGCTGACACTGCTGTTGCTATGGCTGGTCCAGTACTGGACAGAAGTGATGTCATCAATGTGTGCACTGCACTTACCATATTGAGGAGCACGCCAAAGGACATGACTCTGTATTCCTGTCTAGACTAATGGACATGGGAGTTGCAGCCTGGAGCTGCAAGAAATGAACATTTCACTAAGGGGACGAAGATGTTTCATTTACCAACACAGAACAGGCATCATCAGTTGTTTTACACTTGTGGAGCTTTTGAGGAGGAGATCAGAGCACCTTTGGATCTGTCTGAAGTGCTGTGATGATAATCCTTTCTAATTACTAATGCTAAATTAGAAGAAAAGTAAACAGAGCAAGAATCTTATTTATTTGCAACATTATATGGCTTTTGGTAGTACATTTGTTCACATCAGTGTACTGTTACTAATTGGGAATAGACTAGAACTCTTATTTAAAAAAACATTGTTATTTTAATGTTCATACCGAGGATGCATCACAGAGATAAAGAACAGAATAGGAGAGACCAAAACTGCATTTTTAAAAATAAATCTGTCACTGGTGGTTAGGAAAAAAATTCTCGCATGCTATATAGAGCTAGTTTTAATGTATATCTGTGAATCCTGGACGATTAATAAACAGGCTGAACAATTTCTTGAGGAGATGCGATTTTACATAAGAATCCTTAGCATTCCTTGGACAGTTAAAAAGAGCAACCCAAATGTTTTAAATGAGAAGAGGGCTCGAATAAAACTTATCATAAACATCAGAGAGACAGTCATCATTTGTTAGTCATGTTATGGGAAGAGGGAAAAATTGAACATTTTGTGACCACTGGAAAGCGCGAGAAATTTCTTGAGCCTTTTGTCATAGCAAACTGTATTAACTCATGAACTGTTTACAGATCACAGATTGTAGAGAGGTATGATTGCTCATGCCAGCCGGCAAGGCACTTGATGATGATAATGAATGTTCATTTTGAAATCATGATTGTTGTCAGTTTGACTGTCACTTTTTTTTTAAATAATCTGCAGACAAGATTCAGGAGTACTTTGGAGTGAAGATTGCACTGTATTTCTCTTTTTTGGGAGCATATACCATCTCACTGATTCCTCCCGCTGTTCTTGGAGTTATTTACTTCATTTACCCAGGATGTAATGTGTACAGAGAAGCCACATTTGCGATGTTCAACCTAATTTGGTCAACTGTATTTCTTGAAGGCTGGAAAAGGTATTGCAGTTCTCTGTGCTACAAATGGGGAACCATTGACAGCTCCATAAGTTTTGCAAAAAGGTATGCACACAGCTGATAATTATTATTTTGTTAAATAATGTCTTTTATCATTTTTCAAACCTGCAGTTGGTTGGTATTTGCTATTTTAAAAACACTAAATTGTTTAAAAATTGAATAGAGCTGACAAAGTGACATCTTTGGGAACTTCAGTCAAGTTCTAAACACTTATTGCAAGTGAAAACTATCAAGCAAATGCTGAAGAAAACAAAAGATAGATAACAAGTTTAAGTAATGAAGAGCTAATGGAAATGGTGTCTTCAGCTCCAGCATTAAAACAATATCTGTGCCTAAACTTATGCTACTTCCTAACCCAAATAAAGGGTCACACCAGACTAAATGGTTATAGAATTATTACATTACAAAAACACATTTGGTAAGATTCTGGAAAAGATAGTGGTGGGTGTCGCGAGTCCCCAAGTAGATAGATGATTTTGTGATTGGTAGTTTTACTCTCAACACTTCACCTCCACCAGAGCAACTGGACTAATATCCGAGCTATGTGGATCACAGAAAAGTCCTGGATATCCAAGATAACAGATATTTGGCTCGTCCTGTAACTTCACAGCAGCTGCACAGTACCCAGAGAAGAAGGAAAGGGGTTTTAGATGTCTGGATTATAATAATTATTGACTTTTTAAACAAGGCAGGTGACCCTTCCCGACTGCCTCCTCCTGGTAAAGAATTGTTAAAGAACACCCACCAAATGCAATTCTGTCTAACAATTAAGTTAAACATGTAAGAACAAACACTTGGAATTTGACAAATGATGCAGTATAAAACTATATATTTGATTTATTACACTAGCAATCATTTAGATGACTGTCATTTATGATATATTTGATTAAACAGTGATGGTATGGTGGTAATGAGATGCTTCAGCTAGAGAACTGAGCACCTGGGATTAGAGTGAAGTTATAATGATGATGAAGTTAACGACAAAAGACGTAACTCTGTGATAATACAAGATAAAACCTCTGACATCCGTGAGGCACTGTCAAGCTTTTCCACCTCTTTCAGCTTCTTCCCAGCTTGCCACACAGTGTAGGTTTGTACACATGGACCCTCTCTTTCTGCGGTCAGAACGGACTGGTCTTTACCCTTATGGGAGCTTTAATAATTGAAACAAACACATATGTGTAGTATCTAGACTTACACTAAGCACGCATATACTAATAAAATATATCTCATCTCGCCTCCTCAAATTCCACATTTTCTCTGGTTTAGTTTGAAGGTCTTATGTCTCAAACTGATGTCTTACATATCCTGCCATCCCTCTTATGTACTGTCATTATCACGAAACGGGGAGTGGGTAGATGCTTTTAGGATGAGTAGGAGTTTTCCTCTCAACACATCCCCTCCACCGGATCAACTGAACTAATATCCGAGCTATGTTGATCTCAGACAAAGTCCTGGATAACCAAGAAAACAGCCATATTTGCTAGTTAAGTTCTTTAACTAGCTGCACCTGGTACCTAAAGGAGAAGGAAAGGGGATTTAGATGTCTAGGTTATTTTATTTCATGAAATATTACACAGGGCAGGTGACCCCTCCCGTCTACCTCCTCCTGGTAAAGAATTATTAATGAGCTCCCACCAAATGCTATTCTATCTTAACAGTTTAGTTAAACATGTGAGAACAGACACACTTGGCATTACAAAAACTGATGCAGGATAAGACCATATTGTTGATTTATTATCCTAGCAATCATGTATAAGATACTTTATAAAACAGTGATGGTATGGTAGTAATAAGAAGCTTCAGCTAGAGAACTGAGCACCTAAGATACGAGTGAAGTTATAATGGTGGTGATAAGTTTATGAACATAATTGCAGCACGTAACTTTGAATTTATAAAGTAGAACCTCAGAGAGCCCTCATGTTGAGACCCTTCTTAGCTTTTCCTAGCTGTTTCAGCTTTTCCACCTCTTCCAGCTTTTTGTTCGCCAGTTTCTGCCTCATTCTTCACATGCACTGAAAAACATGTGATACAAACATACAAGAAATAGGAATGGTTTAGCAGTTCCCTAACTGAGATAACTGAATACTCACAAAGAAATATTTAAAGCAGAATGTGTAGAAAAATCTGGATGGGTAGAATAGACTTAGCTAGCCTTCTAACCTATAATTAACAAGATTGAAAATAAAATAGAAGCCTACCTGGGAACATTCCAGCAATTTGCCAAACAAGACTCAAACAGCTAGAATTACTTTCTACTGTTGAGTTTGTGGCCTGCACTATGAAGTAAATTTCAAATGCCTAGCAGTATAATATGTACCCTAATCCATCTGCAAAGTTAACTCTTCCCCTTTTTTAGTAAACCTGTCCTACAGGAAAAGATTTTAGCCAACCCCCCCCCCCCACCCACCCACCCTACCCCCATCCCAAAACACCCCCCCCCCCCCCAAACCCCCACCCCCGGAGATACCTTGCAGATCCAATAATCTATCATTGTGCCAGTCAGTCAATTCTGACAGCCCCTACTCTGATCAAACATTCTTAACTCTACCAGACCGCTGGACCGCTATTACGAAAATTTCCAAACCTGCCGCTAAACCGCTTTCCCTCAATGTTGAGAATTCACGTACTATGAGAAAACAATGCGTTACAAACTAAAAATAACTAGCCAATCGTAATCAGATCTCGTGGATAGTCTTCCCAGATGTCCACACGCACGTGTTTTGATAAAATTTGTGTTGATTTACGTGAAAAAATTCTGAAAATTCACAGTAAAATGAGCGGCTGATGAACCAAGCACTTCGACAGGAAAGTGAAGTAGGTCTAGGCTTTTCACAGTCCAACAGGTGATCGATAATTTGGTTGATTCAGACTCTGCAGATCCATAATTTCATGAAGAATACGTTCACAGCTGAAGTAAGAGAGCTCGAATATTGAGGAGAATCTTGAAAATTATAAATCTAGAAATAGATAGAAAGTAGGAGAAGGGGGCGTGTTCCTCAAAAAGCAACATCTGGTGTTCACTTTGTGAAACAAGGTTCATTCTGCTGGGTGGATTAGCACACTAAGGTGGAATATTGGCGTTAGATAAAAAGTAAACCTATTTTCCAGTGTCTCCAAGTTTCGCCTTATTCTAGCCACTTGTTTGCAGGTAACTAATATTTTTGTCAATCATGTTGGTTTTTTCGCGTTAATGCCCAGGAGCTCAGGTATAGGCGGCAGTTAGGTTCAGGGCCTGATGTCTGGTAGGGTTAAGTGAAAAAATCTAGTTCCAGCCAGTGTCAGTGACAGGTGTGAAAAGCCGGACAAGAGGAACCATCATGTCTAGAGTTGTCTACTTGACCATGTTAATTCCCCTGATCTGGTCTGTTCAAAGGGCCCAGTCTGGCCTGTTATGTAACTGTTATGGCTCTCTGGTTGGCTTTTCTCAGGTAGAGAGACAAGCTAAATTAGGTAATGTTATGTAATATTAAACAAAGCTTGGTTGCTTTGTCTGGGCTAAGGACTGGAAGCAGTTTTAAATCCCACATGGTTTAAGTAATATTTGGGCTTAGTGCATAGTATATATAATTCTTTGAAATTATTAAACATAATAACTTCTGAAAACACTGAGGTCATTTCGTCACAGTGGGTAAATTACAGGATTACCAAGAAGGTTAGTGAGTTACCGACCAAGAAAAGACATCTAAGCAAATTTCATGATCTTGGCATATGATGTTTATGAGGGGTTACCAAACAAGCAGGAAACTGCAGTGGATCTAGAAGATGCTTAAAAAAAAGTTGGATATGATGTTTTACAGTGAACAATTATGTAGATCGTTGGATCGTCAGTTGGGCTGCAGCGGCCCTGTATGAATTTCAGACTGCTTTCTGCCCAGGCTTGGAGAGTTCTTAACTCGTCAGTATTATACCTGGCCTCCCTCAGGAATCCGTAATTTTCTCAGTGCTTTTTAATATGTACATAAGCAGGATAGTGAGAGTAAAGATAGTGAGTATTGGGAGAATTTTGGCTTCTGTGGACAATGTTGTAGTCTAGAGACAAAGAAGAAATAGATTTCAAATATCTCGAGAGTTGCAGACCATGGTAGACAAGGTAGGTGAGTAGTGTGAGGAAACAATGTGACCATGAGTGGTCACATTGAGTAGTGTGAGGAAACAATGTGACCATGAGTGGTCACATTGAGTAGTGTGAGGAAACAATGTGACCATGCGTGATGCACTTGTTACATGTATTATTTCATTATGATCATCACAGTGTTTGCATCACATAATAAATGTGTAGATTTAGCAGAACTTGGGTTGATCCGTCAGTTTTTTTTTTTTTTTTACAGTGTGATTTGGTCTTTTAATTAAGTACAGTATTAAATAAAATATAACAGCAGGAAAATGTATTTTTGATTTTCTTACGTGAAACACACAAGATGTTTTGTCACACAAATTGAGTTTAATGATGAAACATGAAATCATGAGCTTTGTCACAACTTAAATGATGTATTTACATGTTTATTTTTGGCAAATTTACAATTTTTTGATTCAAACAGAACATGTGAAAACTTAAAAATATGAGCAAGTAAGAGAGAAGCAAAAAGGAAGTAAGAAGTACCAAGAAAGATTATCAGGAAAAGTCTGTAGAAATGTTGGCAGAAGAAAAAAGCAGCAGCAAGAAACTACTATAAGAATGTAAGAAGGGATAAAATACCACAATCATGACTATAACGCAGCAGAAATAATAAATTAAGAAAGAGGGCAGCTTTTATTAGGCTCCAGAATTACCCCATAGAGATATGGTAATAATCTGAAAAACTGCTCAGTTTCGGGGGGAAAATACAAACCTGCAGAGAACACAGAAGAAGAGACCGACAAATCTGAACCACAAAAAAAGGCAAAAGAAACCCTGGTAAAATTTGCACCAAAGTGCAAAGTGATTAGCATTGACAGTTACCTGCAGAAAACATAAAAAAATTAAATTCGAATCAACACTTAAAAAGAGAGTAGTAATTTAATGTCAGTAGGATGGGAGAAGCAGAACTTAAATTAGTAACTGTGTTAAGCAGGCACAGGAATTTTAATATCTAGGAACAACATTCACAAAAGATACAAAATTTAGAAATAATATCCAGTGCAGTAGAGCAAACCAAGTATTGGGGTGGCTAGCACCTCCCTCTTCCCGCACACATGCACACACGCACACACCCTTCCCCTTTTTTTACAGCATAAAAAAGTCCCATTCAGCACAGAGAAACATCTCATATATTCATTCCTACTCTGTGCTACGAGGGCCAGACTTGTAATTTACAATAGCTCAGTAAAGAAACCCTGAAAATTAAACATCTGAAAGGGGATGCAGGGGTGACCAGAAGTGATAAAAATCGGGAGTGAAGTCATAAAAGACACAGTACAGAACCAAGACTAAATTACATACAAAGACAGCAGATAAAATGTACCCACTTGGAGAAAATGCTTTGTGATGCCATACCATACAAGGCAAAGACCAAAAGAGGAGATTTTTGTAGATCCTGAGGTATACCAAGAACAAATATAGAAAAATGACATCAGAAAAACTCAACAGTTGTGTGGCCAGAAGGGCAAGAAGCAGAGCTTTATATCTCCTTTGATGACTGAAGTGGTGTAAGGAAGTAAAGAAGACATTAAAGCTGCTGGTAAAATAAGGATAAAATGGATCAAACACATTTCTCCAGGTCACTCGGGGCACCATATAAGAATTATAATTTGCAGACCATCACATATTATTGTTGGAAACAGAAGTGTCTCCAAAACCATCTCATCCAGGTCAATAACAAAGGCAAGAAATTTGGAAAAAGGGGGAAGGGGGCATTGAAAATACAAAAAAAGATGAAAGGTAAAAAACAAAAACAGAAACCATATCAATAAAAGTAAAGTAACAGGGAAATATTAAATATCTATGTGAATTTGTCCCTTTAAGTGGAAGAATGGGTAGAGAAATCACATTATGTGCAAAGACAAATTAAGAACTGGATCAGACAACTGACACATAGAAAAACATATCTATCAAGGCAAATATGGAAAAATGTATTGGCAGACATAATCTAACAGGTAAATGAGATGTCTGAGAGAAGAGATGCCGGAGTAACAAGAAGAAATAACATGAAATATGAAGAAACAAGAAAAAAGTAGAAATGAAACCAGTCATAAAGTTCGTTAAAAGCAACAGATGCAATGGTAACAGCCATGTTGATTAAATCTAATGAGAACAGAGCAATGGGAAGCCCATGCAAAAGTTAGATTAATAGCATCGAGAACAATCTTAGAGAAATGAAAACCAACTTACTCATCACATTATAATAAGTGCACCAGGATTATTACCACTTACCCCAATACTTCACTGAGGTTACTAGAGAAAGAGAAGAAGAAGAAGACAGAAACAAAATAAAGGATAAAACTCTTATTGAATTCAAGTTTTTATAGACTGACATTTTATAACAAACATGTGTTGTTTATTATATTGTTTAATGCATGTCTGGTAGTAGAAGATTTGTGTTCATCAGCTGAGAATATTTAACTTACACTTTCAAGAAAAACGAAGGTTTCTGTTTGTTTGTTTATATAAAGTGTTGAATTATTTAATCTAAGTCAGACAAGATACTTGGATTTATGATCGAAATAACACAATTGTATATTTCTAGTTTTGAAGAGCCAAGAGCAGACTACTATGGTGCTATGGGACATAATCTGGTTACAGGAAATCCTGAACCTGTTTACCCGAAATGGAAGAGAGTTCTGAAATTCTACCTAGTAACAGTACCTGTTATTTCATCATGCCTGGCTGTTGCATTTTTCGTCATGCTGGCCTACTTCTGGGCAGAGCAGTGGATGAAGGAATATTCCCCCCAAGACTGGGGTGTAATCACAACATTCAACAGCCTCTTGCCGACAGTGGCCTATGCAGTTTGCATAGCAGTCCTAAACAGCCTCTATAGGATTGTTGCAGTTAAACTTAATAAATTTGGTATGTTCAGTAGTAATATACTTTCAGTTAAAACATTTTTTTTAATGAAGATGCATTATTATTTTTGGGGGCAAATAATTCTGCCCTTGCCGGTTTCATAAAAAAAAAGAGTAAGGTTGGGCATGTGGCCAACTCTGCCACCCTGTAAAATATTCTTTGCTATAGAAACTTGCAGCGAAGGTTGGACTACAAAATTATGAAAAAAACACAACTATATGAAGACACAAATAACAGATCAGTCAAGAAAATACAAAGAATGAAATTATTACACACTTTGGCAAGGCATCAGTAGCTTTTAAAAGCATGAACAAAAATGTATAGTTTTAAAACCAAATTATGTATTTTCAATTCTGTTTCTTCAGTTTTAAAATATGCCAGTGAAAGTTAGAGAAACACTAAAGACATGAATGAAAGTTAAATGTATTTGAAAACAAATTGCTGAGGAAAATGTTGAATATAAAATTGAATGAATTTAAGAAGGTTGAAGAAAAACAATAAAAAATGTCCGGGCAACCACTTATTACAGCAAGTATTAAGCAAAGAAGATGGCACTTTATTGGACACATCCTGAAAAGAAACTAGTTGAGAATTACCAGTGTGATAATGCCGCTATCTGGCTCCTCTACTATCTGGACTTTACACGTGCCTCAGTTATGCTGTAAAGTCTGGACACATGATAGTATAGTCAAAACACGATGATGATGTCAGTACAGTTTTTACCTGCCAGTCTGAATGTTTCATTCACTCGAGTATTGGCATCTGGATCACAGTAACACAAATATTTACAGAACACTAGACACTGCGATTCAGAATCAAGTCTGTTAAGATATTCCTAGCTTTCAAAAGCTGCGTTCCTTCTGTTCACAATCAATGTTCATCTCAATCATACCATCAAGCAACCTGAAACTCACATGGTCAAAACACAACTGACTCTACATCGTCTCACCATTCAACTGTTCGTTCCAGTCTCACATTTTTCCTTACAACCATTCACAGAACACAGGATTTTCTAAATACGCCTTTTCTACGTGTCCCTTGTTTTCCTGGCCTTTTGACCTTGTCCCGTCAATTGGAAAACTCTCTGGGGTTCCCTGGGAATTCCCATTATTACACCAAAGTGTGAAATAAAAGTGAGGACGCCCAAAGGAAGCCTTAAAATGGACGTTGCTGAGAGAGGCCAAAGATGCTGGACTGGATTTCATCCATGATACTGAATTAATTGCACAGGATAGAATGGAGGGGAGGAATGGACTGTGAGCCCTAAGTGACACAACAGAACAATGAATTAATTAAAAAAATAATGCCTTCACAGGGGTGCTCATTAAGAAAATTAACTCTAATTGTCCACTTCAGTTACAATTTGTGTTAGTGTTAGCATATATTATATAAAATTTGTTCAAATTTGAAATCATTATGTGGCTAGATTGGCGCCCAAAAAAAAGGCAACCGGAAAATCTTTTTTTTTTCTTGACAGCAGTATAGATAATAAAAATGCCCTAATTTCACAAATATTTAGGATAAACTTATATTTTGCATTTTTTCAAATTTCAGATGTAATCTTGTTTTTGTCATCTTTATATTGGTATAGTTTGGTGCCAAAAAAAAAAAAAAAAGAAACTGAAGAATTATCTACTTGACAGCAAGATATACTCAGCCTAACTGTGAAATAAAATTCTGCAAATTTAATGGCATCCAACTACATATTAGACATACATTATCACTCAGATAGAATTATTACTTTGAAAATTAAAAGAGGAGAACAAGCTGAAACATATATACAGATATATGCACCATGCAATGATAATTATACAGAAGAGCAGAAAGATGAATTCTTTGACGATCTGTCTGATGAGATAGAGAAAGTTGAGGGAAGCAGCATACTATATGTAATGGGTGACTTCAACGGGAGGGTAGGAAATAACAGAAGAGAATATGAACAGTTTTTAGGTCCACATGCAGCTAAGAACAGTGATAGAAATGGAAATGGTCAAAGAATATTGGATCTATGCAGCCAGCACAATCTTTTTATTACGAACACATTCTTTGACCTTAAGGATTCACAACTTTACACTTGGTACAAATGGAATGATGTCTCCATCAAGAGCCAGATTGACTTTATACTTACCAGAGTTCAAGGAAGAAGGAGAATTCTTGATTCAAGAGCAATCTCTAATGGTCTATGTGACACTGACCATAAAATAGTTGTGTTAACAGCAAAACATCTTACATTAAAGAAACACAGAAAGAAATTAACCAAAAACAAGGATCTCATCAAGATAGCAAATCTGAAACAGGAAGGAGTAAAAGAACAGTTACAACAGAAAGTAGAGACAGCATTCAAACAACTTCCACATGTAGTTGACAATATTGAGGAAGAATGGAGTAAATATAAAAACACCATGCTTAGTATTGCAGAAGAATTATGTGGAAAACGAAAGAGTGGAAACAGACGGGGAAATAACAAATATTCACCTTGGTGGTGCGAAGAAGTAATAGACGCAATTAAAAAAAAAAAGGACTTATATAAAATCAAAGAAAGAAGAAGATTATATAAACTATGGACTGCAAAGGAGAGAAACCAACAAGAGTGTCAAGAAAGCAAAACAAGCATCCTGGGAACGTTTCGGTGATTCATTAGCAGAAAATGAGAAAACAGTCAGCAGAAAATTTTTCAAAGTAGTTAAAAATATGCGGAAAAGAGAGGAGAGCTACAACCCCGCTGAAATAATTAATAATAAGACAGGAAGGCCATTGATAGATCCACCCGAGATAGCAGAAAGATGGAGGGAATACTTCAATGAGCTCTTTAATCCTCTAGGAGATCATCAGGAAAGAACAACTGAAGAGCACAGTGCAACAGTGTTAGAACCACACATACTAGGATGAAATAGAAAAAGTCATTAAGCAGTCTCCCAAATATAAAGCACCAGGAGCTGATAGATTACCAACATAAATAATTCAAACAGCAGGTGAAAGTAGCATCAGATGGCTTCACAGAATATTTAATGCAGCATGGGTACAACAAACTGCCCCTATTGATTGGCAACATGCAATAGTTATACCATTGTGGAAGAACAAAGGAAGCAAACGAGAATGCGGTCAATACCGTGGCATCTCTCTTTTAAGCCATGTTGGTAAAATGTATGCCAAGATAATAGAAACAAGACTGAGACCAGTGATAGAACCACAGCTGGCAGAAGAACAGATGGGATTTAGGAGAAATAGAAGCTGCACAGATGCAATCTTCACACTTAAAAAGTTAATAGAAAAGAACATTGAATACAATAAGAACTTATTTGTGGCATTCGTAGACCAGGAGAAGGCATTTGACAGTCGACAGACAATTATTATGGAAAGTAATGGCAAGATATGGAGTAAGCGAACACCTCATCGAAATGTGCAAAAGTTTATACAGGGATTGTAGAAGTGTAGTTAGAATAAATCAGGGAACATCTCATCCATTCACAGTAACATCTGGAGTAAGACAGGAGTGTGTCTTATCACCACTGCTGTTTATCACCTACATCGACAGTATATGCAAGAATGCCAAGCCCATGAATGAAAATGTTAGTAAGATCAACGAATTACTCTTTGCAGATGACCAGGCCTTGATAGCAGATACAGCCATGAAATTACAACAACATCTAACATCCATGAATGAAGAATGTAAAACAAATAATATGAGAATCAACACTGAAAAGACAGAAGTAATGTCAATAGGAAAAAAGAAGACAGATCTAAGCATAACAATAGAATACAAAGGCATTAAACAGGCAGCTGAGTTTAAATATCTGGGAACTACATTTACCGAAGATGGGAAATTGGATAAAGAAATTGACATTAGATGCAGTAAAGCAAACCAAGTATTGGGACATCTAGCCCCCCTCTTACAGCATAAGACAATCCCAATCAGCACAAAGAGACATCTTATTCAAAGCATATTTATTCCAACTCTGTGCTACCAGTGCCAGACATGGTCACTCACAACAAACCATAAAAGAAAATTAGTAACCATGGAAATGAGATGTCTGAGAAGGGCTGTAGGAGTGACCATAAGAGATAAGATCAGGAATGAGATCATAAGAGAAAAAGTCGGCACAGAACCAATTCTGGATTACATACGAAGACAGCAAGTGAAATGGTTTGCCCACTTAGAGAGAATGCCTTGTGACACCATACCATACAAAGCATACATGGAAAGAGAAGAAGGACGTAGAGCATGAGGTAGACCTAGAACAGGATGGAAGGATAACATCAGAGAAACTCTACAACAGCACGATGTGCCTATGGTCGAGGCGGCCAGAAGAGCTAGAAACAGAACCTCATATCTCCCTTGACACCCACAGCGGTAAAGAGGAAGTGAAGAAGAAGAAGAAGAATTTTAATGGCTGTTTGCCTTTCTATACAAAGAATTTTTGATGCCGTGTGTGAGTGAATTGTCAAAAAGCCACAAGAACAATCTTTTTTAAACCGCCTGTCACAGGAATTGAACACTAGTAAAAGTAAATATTGCATTGTGAAACAATGTTTTACCAAGCTCTAAGCCACAGAACTGTAATGCACACAATCTAAACTAACAGATGCACCTAACAATACACACCTGAAGCACATTCATAAAAGAGTCAACAGAAACTGAAATACTTATCTGTGACTGCCATTGCTAATAAGCAGATTGTTGTTCTTTTGGTTTTAACAGTGCTTTTGATGGCAGTTTGTAAGAATTATCGAATCACAGTCACCAAATTGTTTGGAAATATCTTCACTTTCACTTTCAAATTTTTAAAAAGTCAAGGAAATCACTCATAGCGCTATAATATAATTATTCCCAAAAATATTGCCACCACGCCGGCTGTGACATTTAGCCACCACACTGGCTGTGACATTTAGCCACCACGCCGGCTGTGACATTTAGCCACCACGCCCGCTGTGACATTTAGCCACCACGCCGGCTGTGACATTTAGCCACATTACCAAAACATACACTGAACACATCACTGATATGGGAGCGAAAAATTTATTTTAATCACTAAATAATTGTAAAGATGCCCAGAGAAATGAATGAACTGAGAGCTTCAAGCTACATTGATCACATGCAGTGAAATTTTTTAATGAATTTGAGCACCCAGAGATACGATTGCAGAGGGTGCAATTAAAGAAACCAAGCGTAAATGTTGGATCACATGACATGCGATCCTGGTAGTCAGTGGTTTGATGTGGCCTTGCGCTCATGTTAACAGGGCCCTCATGGTAAGCAAAGAATAATAACACTGTACGCTATTAGGCATGTTGTAACAAGCAATTGAGGGTAGAGGTGAGCTTGGGGTTGGTTACCTCGTCCCATTCAAAACAATAGCCACAAAAACTAACCAAAAAAAGAAAAGCAAGTAATACCCAGCCGGCCAAGATGGGGGGGGGGGGGGAGATTTCTATTAGCAGAATGATGACACAATGCAAGGAAAGTCAGAATGATTCTGGATCGTCACATAGAAAATTCTCCTGAATAAGTACCTGGAATGTTAGGACCTTGTACAATCTAGGAAGAGTAGTAGATTTAGTAAGAGAAATGGATCATTGCAAGATTAGTATTTCAGGATTATGTTAAACTAGCTGGACCAGGGTGGTGAACGAACATTTTTCTAAATTCAGGTGAAACTATTTTGTTGTCATGCCAGACAGAAAATGTAAGTGAATCAAAAGGTGAAGAAAAGACTGACATTGGATAGGACACACGTTGAATAAACCTGAGAACAATATAACTAGAATCTGTTTGCCCTGGAACCTACAGGGGCATAGAAATAAACACAGACCAAAAAACACATGGAGAAGGTAGCTAGAAATTAAGTTAAAACAATAGGAAAGACACAGGGTGAGCTGCATGCAATAGCAAAGGATAGGACAACTAGGCGTGAGTTGGTTGAGGGCCTATTCTCCATCAGGGGATACAGCAAAGAAGAAAGAAGAATGTCGCATAAAGTTTTGCATGATAGTCAGAAAAAGTATGAAAAGACAGAAGTTCGTTACGATAAAGAAGAATGATAGTCTCTTAAATTTGGTTTAGGAAAATCAAACGGAAGTCTCCAATAGATACAGAGACTGGAATGTTGTCTTCGTGATGGGATCAAAGCAGTGTTTCCCTGATGTGAATTTGAACAAAGAAGACACAAACAATAGACAGCACAATTTATTGCCTGGCATATTTCGCTGTATCTCGTCAGGTGCATACTACAGTAACAATTGATTAAAATGAAGCAAATAGCTGAATCCTAGAAACTGAAACACAAATTCCAGTACATTCTAAACTGTCTGTTTCACCGAGGTAACCGTAAGGTAACGACCATTTCTTTCTGCCTATAGAGATCTGGTTTTAACCAGTTGATCGCAGAAGCTTCGGCATATCGGAATATTCTGTGGTTGGTCGAATTGTAAATAATTCGAAATGCATCATCCCTGTAAATGATGTGCCCGGAATTTAGAATATGGCACGCAATTGCTGCTGATCATCATCAGCAAAGCTTCCACGATCAGCCGGTTGAAACCAGATCTCTGTGTGTTTCAGTTTCTAGGATTCAGCCATTTGCTTCATTTTATTCAATTGTTACTGTAGTATGCACCTGATGAGATACAGTGAAATATGCCAGGCAATAAATTGTGCAGTCTATTGTTTGTGTCTTCTTTGTTCAAATTTGTGATAGGAGACAATATATAAATCTAACCCTGCATAAAGGCACAAGGAAGGTGAATGTTGACTAATGGTCAGTAATAAGAAGGCACAGATTACTATGCAGGGTGCAAATGAGAGATCAACAATTTTCATAGACACTAAATAGCTGGAGACAGTTGACCATTTCACAGACCTGAGACTCTTAGCCAGTCTATCCCTAGACATGGAGATCAGAATTTTGAGATCAGAAAGCTCACAGTTAAAATAAAAATCCTTCTTGAGTTATGATGAGTTCAACTGAGTTAAGAACTGACATTACAGTACTCTAAACATTCCCATAAGCGCTCAGTCTGCATCAACAGCCAGCACAGAGTTCCATTTTTAGTGGTACCAGTTTGATTATATACCTGTCTTGCCTTTCCTTTGAGTGTAGAGTATTTACTGGAGTATTTACTGTGCAGTGTCTCATAAAACTAATCTGAAAGTCCAACTTGGACAACAAATGCCATGCTGAAAGATGCATATAAAGCAGCTATGCTATCAACAGGCAAAGGCAAAAGATGTTGAAGAAGAAAGATGTAACTGATAAGAACTGTCTTGGCTAGAGAAGTTATAGTATTATATGTGAATTTGTGTAAGTGGTAATTGAGACTGAAAGAGCATGTAGATTTGTAGCTTATAGTTTTTTAAGGTTAAGAACCCTTTTTAATCTGGCATTATTTGCTACTTATTCTTCATTTTTTTAAATTATATTTATTGTCCTCTTAAATATCTTTCCATTATATATTTAAATTTGCTGATAAGTGTAGTTTCTCCAAACATTATTAGAAATCACCCTCTTCTTATTAGATTACTTATAATCTGAATTTAAAAAAATCTAAAACAGAAAACCATCGCCTGGGGTCATCGTATGAAAATCACTTGATACTCAAGCTTATACTGGTAAGAAACATATATGCTCATTTTTTTGTTTCAATATTCACTCACATTCTGACTGATAGGTCATGATTATAATTAAGAAATCATATCACTTATGATTATTGTGAAAAAATTGTATCACTGACGATTATGATTTATAAAATTATATCACTTTACTCAGGACAAACTCATAGGAAATGTCCGTATATGTTGCAGAATGTGGAGATTGTTGCAATTTGATTCCGAGCCCTTGACATTCATTGCTGCAGATATCGCCCGCCTCCATTCATCTCTCTGGTTTACCTTCTTTTTCCAGTTGGTGACACCTAGTGTTTGTAGGTCTGTCTGGATATTATATCTGCCTTGTCTTCTTGGTCTGTCTCATGGTCTACACCCATTCAGCTTCCTTGTGTGTATAGTTTTTAACCCCTATTTTGGGGACTGAGCTTCGAGAGGCAGGGGGTATGAAGTGTTAGTGTTGCGGGTAGTAATTTGTTCCCCCTTACTTCACCCTCGGTCTAGTGAATATCTGTTCATGAGAGAAACGTCCATTGTGGTGTCAGCCTTTTGACCTAGCATAAACTTATTTACCCCAAGACCATTGTGCTTGGTGAAGTCACAGCCTCCCCGAGGTATTCCTGGTAACTGGGGGTACGAATCCCCAGGAAAAACACAATGAATCTAGAGGAGCAAACCTCGACAATAAACCCAGTACACCACACCGTACTGCCTCTGTGGGAGGCAAGGAGCCAGAGTTGTGCTGAACAGTCTTAGGAGTGGAAACAGTATGCAAACCCCCCTGAATATCGGAAACTATCCTGAAGGCACAGGGACTCATGATGTGATGATCCAGCTGCCTCAACTACTCATGCTTAGGCCATGCTTAGAACCATGAAGAGCTCAGCGAAACCAGCAGGCAATCTGGTGGCGGGGAATGAGCACACTGTGAGCCCCACCTTAGCTACGTGTTAAAGGGGAAGGCAGAAATACAACCTATATTTTTCCTTTAGAACGGGTACAGGGCATTTCTAGCTGCTGCCTGGGGAGGTAGGTAATCCACAGACACCCCAGCACTACAATGCCATAAATATGAAAATCTAAGTATACATACGAGATCGGTTGTCACCTCCTCTATTAAAGCCCACGCCAGACAGTGGGAAACCAGGCTGTCATGTGCGAAAAATTGGCTACTGGACAATTTAAGGTAAATAGGAAAATAAGACACATTAGGAAGAGGCAGAGTGAGGGAGAGCATAAAGTGCTATTCCCTCTGAGAACAGACAAGTGGAACACCTTGTACAGAGGAAAAGAACAGCTTGTGAAAACATGCAAATTCCACTACATGGCATTGGGCCAGAGGGCGAAAGATTATGTGCTGCTGGATCGGTAATAACAACAACAACAAAAACCTCTATTTCATCTGATATTCTCTCTGTATGCCCCAGCTGTTTCAGTCCATTAGCCCTCATGATACCAGTGATCAGATTTAAACAGATTATGAATTTCGTTGTTGCTTCTCACTCTCCATTCCTAGCTGTTTGCATCTTTGATGGGTCCAAAGATTCATCGTAAAACTAAAAAAAGCTTAAGAGATCCTTCTGTGCAAAGATCACATCTAGAGTACAACAGAGAAAGATTACCAGAAACATCCATGTCAGAGAAATTTGCAGATGAATTATAATGTAAAACTGAAATTTTACAAAATCCATCAGAGGAAGATGACCAGACCTGGATGGATATTAAGAATATAGTTCAAATCACTGCAGGCAAATGTCTTAGCATGTCAGCCATAAACATAACAGAAAAAATGGTTCGATAAAAAATGTAAAGAAGCAGTCAGTATGCCAGGCAGCTGTGGCTAAATGATACTAGCAACATATGAAATGAAGAAAAATACAGATTAGAATGTGAAGAATCTACAGTTATTAAATTGTGAAAGTCCACTAAATATCTATCCACAAGAAGAGATACTAACATGAGAAGTACTGTATGTAATAGCACGGCTTAAAAACAGTAAAGCAATTGGTGGTGACTGACTTGCTGCTGAACTTATAAAAGAAGGTGGTCATACATTACATGCAAAGATATATGAAATAATATAAGTGGTTTGGAAGATGGAGATATTACCCCTTGAGTGGAAAGAGTCATTATTAACTATTTAAAGACATCTCGTCAGTAAACTGGCGAATAAATGTATCCCTAATGGACGAATCGCCAGCATATTGGTGTAAGAGACACACTAATTTTGTTCCATTTGTGGGGAAAACAAACTTTTATGAAAAAGTTTTTGAACAATTAGGATTAACAACAGGCAGTCCTTTTGTTTGCAAAGTTCATCATGATCTGTGCATTAATTTCTGATTTTTCTAAAATTATTTCGATGGGATACAATTTTTACGTAATTTTTCTATACCAAATGATAAGGGAAAAGGTCTAGAATTGTTCATACTGCTCTCTGGTTGATGAATCTCTGCCAGATGGTGATAACAGTCTTGATATAATGATTGATATCTAAGTGACAAACTTATTTGGCGATAATTTAGTTTAGGATATAAAAATTGAACAAAATATTTCAATCAGTTCAATGTTTCAGTCAGCTGTTTTCCCAATTTTCAGTTGTTGTGAAATTTGACATGTCATACAAAAATTATCATAACATCCTAAGTATTTAAATTAATTGTTTAAATAAAGTCTAGCTGATACATAATTGAACAGAGAAGGCATGTGCATTCTTAGAATTGGATAGCAGTGTTGTTGAACAATTAAAACAGTAAGGTCAGCACACAATTGTTGATGTCAGTAATAATCATATGTGTCTTAACATTCTTGAATGTTGTGTGATTTAAACAAATTTTGTTGTAATACTGACATTAAATAGTTTAGATTTATTCTGCACTCATTTATCTTTAATTTGATATATTATATGTGATAATAACAAGACAGGGAAAGGATATAAATTCCAGCTACATACAAGTCAATAATGTGAAAATCAAACAAACAGAAACATGTGTCTTATTCTTCTTCTTCTGCCTTTCTATCCCCCAATGAACCATAGGCCCTCAACCAACTCACGCCAAGTCGTTCTATCCTTCGCCATTGCATGGAGCTCTCCCCATGTTCTCCCAATCTTTCTAACTTCATTCTCCAGCTCTCTTTTCCATGTGTTTTTTGGCCTTCCTTTATTCCTGTGCCCCTGTGGGTTCCAATGCAAAGACATTCTAGTTATGCTGTTCTCCTGTTTTCTTAGTGTGTGTCCTATCCAATGCCAGCGTCTTTTCCTCACCTCTTGGTCCACTGGAGCCTGTTTAGTTCTCTCCCAAAGTTCTACATTAGTTATTCTATCATACCATTTAATTCCCTCTATTCTGCGCAGACACCAGTTAATGAATGTCTGTAATTTATTAGTAATTGCCTTGGTTGTTCTCCATGTTTCCACCCCATACTATAGTACTGATTTGACATTAGAATTTAAATTTTTTTTTTTTTTAGTTTAGCATTTCTTTTAATTTCTTTTGACCTCCACAAATTCCCTAGTGCTATGGAAGTTCCTCTTGCCTTTTGTATTCTTATTTTAATATCTCTATCAGTTCCTCCATCTTTATCTACATTACTGCCTAAATAGGTGTACGACTCCACGTCTTGGAGTGGGGTGCCATTAAGAGAAACCACATTACTATTTGCCTGGTTTGTTCTCATTATCTTTGTCTTTCCTTTATGGATTTTCAGACCAAGCTGCTGTGATCTCTCATCAAGTATATTTAATTTATCTTGCATCTGATTCCGTGAATGGAACAGAAGAGCAATATCATCAGCGAAGTCCAGATCATCAAGCTGTTTTGTAGGGGTCCACTGAATTCCATTCTTGGTGTTAGCAGTTACTGTTTTCATAGTCCAGTCTATAGCCAGTAAAAATAAGAGAGGCGACAAAAGACATCCCGGTCGCACACCTGTTTTTATTTCAAATGCATCTGTTAGCTTTCCCTCATGAAGAACTCGACATTTCTTGTCTTTATATGTTGCCTTTACTAAGTTGATAATTTTCTGCGGGATTCCATAGTGCCCCATCAATTTCCAGAGAGATTCCCTATCAGTGCTGTCAAATGCTTTTTCATAGTCTATAAATCCAATGTAAAGTGGTAAGTTCAGTTCAATGCTTTGCTCTATTATAATACATAATGTGGCTATCTGGTCAGTACAGGATCTGTTTGACCGAAAACCTGCCTGCTCATCTCTAAGCATTTTATCAATAGCATATTTTAATCTTTCCAAAATAATTCTACTTAATATTTTTCCAGGAACTGACAGCAACATAATTCCTCTATAGTTTTCACACTCCTGTAGATCACCTTTTTTGGGCAGTTTCACAAGATATCCTTCTCTCCAGTCTGCTGGTATTTCTTCGGTCTCCCAGACTTTACTGAATAATCTATGTAGCAATTCTGTTGATTTGTTTATGTTGGCGGTGATGGCTTCAGCTGGGATACCATCTGTGCCTGCCGCCTTTCCTTCCTTGAGAAGATTGATAGCTTTTCTAATTTCCTCTTTGGATGGTATCTCACAGTTGATATCCAGTTCCATTTCTAAAGGCTGGATATTTAGGGGAACCTCTGGGCCTGGTCTATTTAGAAGCATTTCAAAATATTCAACCCATCTGTCCATTTTATCTTTAGTGTTAGTAAGTACCTTTCCTTGACTATTTTTGATTGATCCAGTTGGCTGACTATATTTACCTACTAATTTTCTTGTGTTACTGTCGAGTTCTCTGAGGTTTCCCTTTGCTGCTGTTGTCTCCGCTTCTTGGGCTAGATCATTTAGATATTTCACTTTATCTGCCCTTATATGCCTCCTAACTTCCTTGTTGGCTTCTGTGTATTTCTCCTAAGCTCTAGCTTTAGCAGCTCTAGTTTTGCTATTGTTTAAGTCTGTCTTTTTACTTTTCCTATCTTCAAAATCTCTTTTTACTTTTCCTATCTTCAAAATCTTTAACCAACCATAGATAAGTCAAAAAGAGAAGCAAGTAAAATCCAGCCAACCAAGATGAGGGAAGGCTCTTCAAATAGAAGAAGCATGACACGGTGTGGAGAAAGCCGTAAAGAGTCCTGATCGTTGACATACCTCCTCTCAGCTAGGAAAACCTCCAGAATTGGCACCTGGAATGTTAGAACTCTCTATGATATAGGGAGAACAATGAAACATATAAGTACTTGGTTGTAATCAGCTGCTCCAACATCCTGAGAGAAAAAATACAATCTAGAATACAATCTGGAAAAAATCCCTTCAAAATCTGCTAATGTCAAAGTCTCTGTCTCGCAACACCAAGATCAAAATATATATATGTTGGGATGAACATAGATCAGATTTTGGTTCGCTTCTCATATGGGTGAGCAGTGTTGGGATACAAATCTGACAATTGGGGCGCTCACTAGGATTCAAGCCCACACATTTACTATATAAGTGTACATTCCCACGTGGGTTGGCGACACCTGTCAACAAAAGCGTGATGAATTTGGATGTGCCAAATATTGCAGCTCTGCTGTGAACAGGCACAACACATTTACATCACTCAGATGAACGAAAAGAAGATATAATTCCCAACTAAAAGGGATTAGAACAGTTAAATTCATTTACTGAAATACATTTTTATAAAAAATAAACAGCAACAAGATAATGTCCAAAGAAAAGCTATATGTCTTCATGATTAACAACAATGGGGACTGTTATAAAGAAGCAGAAGCAGGATGACATAAGCAGTGTTTTAAAGTATGAGGAGTATAATACAGTGAGAACAAAAAAGTAAAAGTAAAATCCGAAGAACATCCATCTTTCCTGTGGCAGCATACAGATGTGAACCATGAACCATTTTAGAATAAAAAATTAGGCTTCTGAACTTGAAAACTACAGAACAATTATTACAATGCATGTGGTGTAGGAAGAAATTATACAAACAATCTACAATAGCAAAATATCACAGAAAGCACTGCTTGTAAATATATCTCAAAAACTAAAATATTTTGGCCAAATCTAACAATATAATGGTTTAGAAAGGACAGTAATGAAAGATATGGTTCCTGAAACACAAGATAGGGACTTGACCAACATCATTAACAATACTGGACATATCGATAACTTAGAAAAAAAAAAACATGCCACATGAGAATTAAAGGATACAAAAATATGTCTGTTTTATGATGAGTTTGAAGTTCTGCTGAGGACTTATTACTTGTAAATTACAGACCAGACAGTTAATTTGAAATGCATTTTAAAACGAATAAGAAAATACATTATAGAATTGTTGGGATTCACAGGGAAGAGCCAGTTACACCTCACATATTTCTTGGATCTAAAATAGTTTACTTATATTATTCACATTGCAATGTGTTTCCCACATATTCCATTCTTTTTTCAGTTTGACTTCGTCAATTGCTTTATTTGTCTTTTTTACGTTGCCTTCTATTTGCAAGACCGAAGTCTCCTAAAAACGGTAAGTTTTTTTCAAATTCATTATGGTAAGCTAAAAAGCTAATAATGTTAATAAATATATATATCATGTCTGTTTATTAATTAATTTAGAAAAAAATTATGCATTTATATTTAGAAGAACTGCTTACTTTATACTGATCATAAAACATTTTTTAAAGGAGTTTATCATTTTGAAGCTTAAATGTGCAGACTCAGCTGGTATTGTGTATAGTTGGAATTAACACATTATCTGTAAATACTAAGTCAGTTTAATTTCTAAAGATATGTTGAATCTTTTTTCAACGCAGAGTTGGTTTTAATATATATTACAAATAACAAGCCTATTTTCTTCAAAGAATGTGATCAACCTTCCACCTGTTATTTTTATATTCCTATTTTTTCTTTGCAAATTTTAGCATTTATGTCTCCTTCTTTATCTTCCTCATCATCATCATCACTTAACACTACATGTCGTTGGGTCACCAGTTTCTGTTGACTGTCTCATCGGCTCTCTCCACCTTTGGCGGTCAGTTGCGATGTACTTCATGGTTGCATGTCTGAGGCCTGTCCAGTCAGTAAGGTTCTGTAACCAGGTCTTTCTCGGTCTATCTCTTCTCCTCTTTCCCTCTACTGAGCCCTGCAGTATTGTTTTTGAGAGGTTGTTAGATCTTATTTCATGTCCATACCATTGCATTTATCGCCTTTTTCACTGGAGTTAAAAGAGGTTCATAGTTGCCAATGTGCTGTATAATTTTATGGCGAACCTCTTCGCTTGTAATGTGATCTCTGTATGATATGCCGAGAATTTTTATGAAACATTGCATTTCTAATGCTTATATCTTTCTTTCAAGTTCAGCTGTTAAGGTCTACGTTTCACAGCCAAATATCATGATCATCGTGTGCCCTGCCAACTGGCATAGGCGCTTATCTGTCTCCACAGATAGCGATCTTTTGTTGCCTGAAACAGCTCTCTTGATGATGTCCCACCATGTCATCATTTCAGCCCATCCACCATCATCTCTCTTGGTCTGCCTCTACCCCCTTTTCCACTGATCTTTCCAGTTGTCACGATGTTCTCCAATGTCTCTCTTCTCATTATGTGGCTAAAGAACAATGTTTGTTTCTTTCTTATTGTTGTATTGAGATCTAACTTCATTAGGTTCTTTCAAGCAATCGTTGTTTGTAACTCTGGCCATCGAATGTATTGGTAACATTTGTCTCAGAAACCACATCTCTGTTGCTTCCAAATTCTTCCTAATGTGTTCACTGACATTCGCTGACATACAGCAGAACAGGTTCTATGAAACATTTTAGCACCCTCTTTCTGACATTAAATGAGAGCGATTTATTGCATAAGATATTTTTTTCATTTTCTGAAATGCAGCTTTTGCTTGACCTATTCTGCTTTTAATCTCTGTTACACGTTTTCCATCTGATGATATGATTGTTCCCAGATATTCGAATTTATTGACTTAGTTGAGTCTTTTTCCTTCATTTGAGATATCACAACCTGGAGTTATCTTCTTCTTTCATATAACCATTGCTTCTGTTTTCTTCATATTCAATGAAAGTCCTTTCTTAGCCCCTCTCCACCCACACAATATCCAGCAGTTGTTGTAAATCATTTGCATTTTCAGCTGTCAAAACTGTATCGTCTGCATAACGCAAATTGTTTATGTTGTATCCTCCAACTTTTGCTCCAGCATTCTCTTTAATTTCCCTCAAAATTATTTCACTATGTAGAGAGAAAAGGTCTGGGGATAAGACTCATCCATGTCTTACTCCTTGCTTTATCTTTTCAAAAGTACCCAATCTGTTTCCTACTTTCATTGCTGCTACTTGGTTCCAGTAAATGTTTTTAAATATTCTCAGATCTTTCCCCATCTACATTAAGTGCATTGAGTCCCTTTTGGCATCTTGTCACAACCATCTCCACATGGTCCTTTAAGAACAGGTTCCTGTCAAATATGATTCCTAAATACTCCCAGTTCACGCTCTCTATTGATGTTTCTACCTTCTGTCAAGACACCTGAGACATCAGCTCTAAATCCTGTTGTCTGTAGAACACCACAGAACAGATGCATTTTCTGGGCGGATGACAGCATTCATTTCTGTACACTAGTCAATCACTTAGCCTACTGTCGCATGTAGGTCCTGGGCTGTTTGTTCCCCATCTCCTACTTGCCTGTATGCAAGAATATCATCTGCAAATGTCAGTATTCTTCCAACTCCTGGTGCTTCAAGGCTTGCAATCTTGTTCATATGTTTGGTAAAAAGTATAGGTGGGATTGCAGATCCCAGAAGCAGTCCAGGGGCTATAATTCATGGTTTTTAGGTCCATGTACCCCGATGAAGAGCAACCCGACAAGAATATAGGACATCTGCTAATTTAAAGTTCACCAACCAGTGACTGACCTCCTTCTCTGTTATTGAGGTCATCAAAATATTGTATCTTACTCTATTATATGCATTACAGATTATATGCTGCCGCCATCGTTTCCTGTCTATTCTGGAACCCTTTATAAATGTCAAAGGCAAAAATGGCTGCATTTGACCATGTATTATGTCCTGGCCTGTAGCTTGTTAGACCTCTTGAGAGAAGCTTCCCCGATTTCAACAATCTTTACAGCTTGACAGCCACCATCTTCTCTAAGAACTTCTCAAATGTATTTTGTAAGGTAATGATTCTAAAACCACTAAGATTTGAATGATCCCTACAATGTTTTGGAAGGGTGAATTAGATAGCTGTGCACCCAATCCTGTGGTAGTGATGATGTCCTAATGCTCTGGTTAAAGCAGCTGGTCATCTCTCTCAGGTTTTGGTGCAGTCTCTTTTGCCATTTTCAAAATATGCTTGATATCGTCAACTCGTATGTCTTCATAATGTGTTTTCTTTATTGTGCCAGATAACTCCTCTCTAACTGCATCCCTGATGTCTGCATCACTAAGACCTGTCTTAGCTATAAATCTATGGAGAAACACCTTCCCTTTCTCCTTGTCTGTTGTCAAGTGCAAACCATCGTCTCTACAAATGATTCTTACTGTCAGAAGCCAATCTTTTCTTTGCATCTGTCTTTGCAGTTTCAAGAATTTTCCCAATGTTTTATCACCTCCCATATCACTCGCATGTTTCCACTTAGCTGTTCATGCCTCTGCAGCACAGTGCTTGAAAACCTTCATCTCATATTTTTTTTAAACATTTTTCACCACCTCCGCCCCCTCTCATGAGCTTAGCATGTCTATCACACTTTCTTTAGTTGCTTCACTGCAGTTCTCTTTGCCTTCCACTTCTGGAGACCACCATGGGGACTGTAAAAAATGTGTTTTGACAGTCCTGTTGCATGCCCTCTGTCTAAGGCATCCAAGTAGGTTGTTAGTCCACTCACACCGGGAGGTCTTGCATGCTCTCCCAGCCTTAACCTTAATGGATTTGATAATTAGGACTGAATATGGTAGGTGATTACTCCCATGGTCTTTCAAGACAGTCCACTTTGCATCAAAAACCGTCGACTGGGAGACAAATACCAAGTCAATAGTTATGTTTGCATTGCCAGGCCTCATTGCCATTCTAGTCGGCCTTCCATCATTTATGCAGGCCATATCGGAGTCAACCATGACATCTGCATGGGCTATTCCCAGTCAGTTTTCCCGCTGCTGTCCCATGCTCTGTTCCTCGCACTGAAGTCCCCATATATGAGCAGCCTATCACCTGATAATTCCTCCAATTCCTTAAGCAGTCCCATTGTTCCCTTTGATAAAACAGTCTACCTTGGCATATATATTGATGAGGTTCCAACTTAAGCCACCAATCTCCATCTGTATCCCTGAACCTCTCTTCCACCGTAATTCCACTGGTTCAAGTCCGGTACTACTTGCTTCACTCCTTCCTTCACTAACAGACCTTTCCCCTGTCCAATAGGGTTTATAACTAGCATACCCAGGGCAATAACTGTATTTAGTTCTTGGAGCTTGATGACATCAAAATCACATAGCCTTTCCAGTACAAGACCTCTCTGCCTGGCACGATAACAGTTTCAGTATCCCAATCTTACATGACAGCAAGTGAAATGGTTTGCCCACTTAGAGAGAATGCCTTGTGACACCATACCATACAAAGCATACATGGAAAGAGAAGAAGGACGTAGAGCACAGGGTAGACCAAGAACAAGATGGAAGGATAACATTAGAGAAACTCTACAACCGCACGATGTGCCTATGGTCAAGGCAGCCAGAAGTTCTAGAAACAGAACCTCATATCTCCCTCGACACCCACAGCGGTAAAAGAGGAAGTGAAGAAGAAGAAGGAAGCATATTTAAGGAGGATGACAGACTTAAAAGAGATATAGAAGCCAGAGAACAGAAAGTAAATGCTGTCACTTACCAGTTAGCCCCACTGCTTAGACACCCAAATGTCTCCCTTCCTGCAAACAGCAAATGATTAATAGTATCTTTATCCCTACCTTATCTTATCAGTGCCAAACATGGGCAATGAATAGGGCACTAGAACAGAAAATAACTACATGTGAAATGCGCTATCTCTGCAAGGTCACTGACAACACTATACGAGACAGGGTTATGAATCACAGCATTAGAAAGTTGGAATAAGACCATGTCTGGATTATATTGACAAACAAAGAATTAAATGGTTTGGCCATCTAGGGAGAATGCAGCCATACCAGACTACATATGAGATTTTTACAGTAGAAGGAAGGTGAGAGGAAGACCAAGAAAGAGATGGGTAAATGATGTAGATGAAACCTTTAAAAAATTGAACAAATCCATCACTCAAGCCACCCGAAAAACGCAAGACAAATACAGAAAAACATGACACTGGATTACAACCTGGTAAAAAGAAGGATGCTTGCAAGCATATTATTACTGTGTTATTATATATTTCAAACATTGAACTTTGTACATCTTTAATTTATAAATATTCTAGTGTCTTCTTTTTCTTCTTTACTCCTGGAATGCTTCGCTGCGTCAGGGCAGGAAGATATCTCTTTAATGGGCCCTTCTGTTCATATCAAATATAGCATTTTCAGTAACTGATATTTCTGGCTCTGTTACCATTGTATCTGTATAGTATTGCTCTCGGTTGTGTCCTATCTGAAGCTAGTTTTATTATCTGGCCAAAACATTTGATCTGTTGTCTACCAGTAATGTTCAGTTTTGGTTCTAGCTGGCTCTGCTCCTGATATGATTGTTCCTAAGTTGAGCTTTCCTCGTTACATTTAGCATAGTGCGTAAACATTTCATTTCTGTCATGACCATTTTCCTTCTGTCCTCTGAAGATATGTTCCATGTTTGATACTGATAGCATAGCGTTGGTAAGAATGTTGTACTGAACAGGGAATTCAGCACCGGAAATTTCATCAACAAAAGCACTGGCATCTAGTATCTTTAACAAACTCATACATCTGGAAGTCAAAGACATTCAGCAAACACACACAAAAACTTAAGATCTTCATCTCTTGTGTGATTCCAGTGCTAACTTATGGATGTGGGAAGACCGAGAGAGACCCTGCATAGAACCATCATCAGGGAAGGCTCAGGCATGGGCCTTATAAACATTCAAGGCTTAAACAGGTGGCAATGAATCCCCAGACATGGAGAGCTATGACCTCTGTCTTGTGCCACCCTAGGCTCAAGAGGAAAGACAGAGTGCTCTTTAAGTGTTCATATTCATGTGCTTGCATGTAAAAATTGGTTCTATTTGGCCTAAAACTTGATTGACTTTATTGCATCTTTGTTGGATTTCTTTATTAATTTGTCTATGTTCTGAAAAGATGCTCCCTAGATGTATAAAGTCCTTCACCTGCTTTAACAGATGTTCATCAGTTTTGATATTGTTGGTTCTCGTTTTCCAGGGAATCTCATCACTTTGTTGATCTTTGTATCATAGTTGTCCCATGCTGAGTGGAGCCTTTTAATATGTTCTGGAAGTTGTACTGCTGTTGGTGTTATGATTGCCTGGTCATCGGCGAAAAGCAATTCATTGTATAATTCTCCAGTGTTGTTCCCTTCTGATTTGCAAATTTTGTCGACATTTGGGATGAACCGTATTGGTGATAAAACACTTTCATGTCTCAAGCCAGATCTAATTAACATTTCTGACATTCCTATGTTTGTTCGGACTGCACTATGACTGTTTACATATAAGCTCTTGCACAGTTTAATAAAATATATTCCATAACCAAAGAGGTTTTGCTGAAATATTGTTATCATAGGTGGGCTAGCTGGAAGAAGTATGCACATATTCAGTTGTTTTTGTAGAAAAGATGCAATGAAATATGCCAGGCAATAAATTGCACAATCTATTGTTTGTTTTTTCTTTGTTAAAAAAAAATACATGTTATGGTATGTTTACTTATAAATATTGGGTATGTGATTTCCATTGTATTTCTACAGTTTCTGGGAACCCTCTTGGTTACACAGCAGATAGTTGGCCAGTTCCAAGAGGCTATGATACCATACTTCTTTATGCAGCGTCGCCAGAAGCAGTTTGATCAAGCCTTGAAAAAAACTGAAGCTTTATCATTATCCAAACAGACTGGTAGTGGAATTTATATCGACCAAGTGTACAAAAGGCAGGCTTCTCTTGAAGGATTGATGGATAAATGGAATGTAAGAGCAGATATTTTGTTAATAGATAAATAAAATTTATCTGTAATTATCTTTAAAATAGCATAAGAATATATGGCTTTTCATCCTTTCAGTTTGTGGAATGTACCTATATTTCTTTCTGTTGGTGAATAAACTCTCTCAGTTCATGGATACATTGAAAGTATTTGTTGACATATGTTCTTTATAAAAAATAATATGCTGTGTAATAGTTTAGCATTTGATTGATTAACTTTGTTATAAAACCTCTGACAGCCGTGAGGCACTGTCAAGCTTTTCCACTTCTTCTCGGTTTTCCACCTGTTCCCAGCTTGCCGATCTCCCACAACGTAGGTTCGTGCATGTGACCATCTAGTTTTATCAGAGCAGACATCTTCACCCCGACAGTAGCTATGAAACAAACACATATGTGTAGTATCTATACTTACATTAAGCATGCATATACTAATACAATATATATATATATATTCATAACATCTCTACTCTTAATCTTCAACATTCTCTCCAATCTAGACTGAAGGTCTTGTGTCTCACATTGGCATCACATATCCTGCCTTCCCTTTCATGTACTGTCATGATAGTTGACTTCCTAAGTCTGCTATCCATCTTCACTCAGACTTCAAAACTGGCTGACATTGTTTTTACATGAACATGTGGAGCAGGTTATCTGCTGACAACTGAAATCATTTTATATGTGCATACTGTCCGGAATATTGTATTTCCAATGATAGTGAGAACATGGTGAGCTATCAAACTCAATCACTTGGCTACTGTAGGTCTGAGTTTGTGTCTTGCTGGCAGCACTATGAGGTAAATTGAAAATGCTCGCAGTATAAGTATCTATCTATTGTCCAAATTAAACTCCTTCCCTTTCTAGTATTTAACCTGTCCTACTGGAGAAGATCTAAGCCACGCCTCAGGAGTACCTTGCAGATCAAATTAGCTATCAAGGTGTCTGTCAGTCAATTCTCACTGACATCCCTCTGATCACACATTTTTAAGTGGTAAACATCTAGTTCCAGACCGTGTCACTGACAGGCGTTAAAAGTCGGTCAGTGAAGCCAATGGGTTTCCTACTTGACAAAGTTAATTACCTTTATCTTGTCAGTTGAAAGGGCCGGTGTGTAACCTTTAAGACACCAGGGACTGGTCTGCAGTTCAAGGAAGATAATCTCAGGGGGGATAAATAGTTTTATGACTGAGTTGCATGCCCCTAAGGGTCTCTGGTCAGGAGATAATTACATGACACTTCAGTTCTACAATCAAACATTACAGCCACTATGTCTGAACTTTCCCAGGTATAACCAGCGGGCTGTTTTATGTAATGTTATGTAATATTAAACAAAGCTCAGTTGCTTTGTCTAAGCAAAGGACTGGAAACATTTAAATACATGTGGTTTTAGTAATATTTGGGTTAAGGGCATAGTAAATATAATTCTCTGTCTCTCTATAAACAGAAGAAATTATTACGCCTACTAATTTCTGAAAACACTGAGTTCGTTTCGTCACAGGTCCGAAACTTCTGTAGTTCTTCTTTTGTTATGGCCCTTAAAGTCAATGTTACGGCCCTTTGGATGTCATCAGTATCATTAAAGAAGTGTCCTTTCAATTGTAACTTTAATTTTCGGAATATAAAATAATCACAGAGAGACAAGTCTGGGGAATAGGGTGGAAGGCTGAGAACACACACTTGTTTAATGGCCAAAAATTCTTGTTTTGATGATTTCTCTTGGGTACTCAAACCGCTGACTTTTTCGGTCATGAGACAATGAGTGTGGTACAAACTGGCCACAATTTTGGACTAAAATGTTATAAATGGTCTCTCTATTAACACCAGATTCATCTGCCATCATCCTCACAGTAAAACAATGATCTTTTTGTACGCTTTCTCTAAATTTTCCATTAATGAGTTCGTCATCACATACAGAAATTTGGAGTCCAAGTATAGGTGCATTAGTAATTATTTCCACACCACTTTTGAATTGAGAATACCACCTGAAAATTTGTGCACGAAATAAATGAGATTATCCCCATTTACTTGTTGCATTAATGCAACTGTTTCAATCGCACTTTTTTTCTAAGTTTTAAAAAGGATTGAATGTTAGCTTTTTGCTCCGCTCTTATTTCCTAACAATGCACCTCTGACTGGGTCAACAAAGTGGCGGCTTGTTTGTTGTCTGCTTATCGAGCGGCAATGAAAAGTTGCCAGATCATTGATGAATGTTGCCTCTTTAGATTCCATGCTTTGCTTCATAGATGGCTTTTTTGTCTTAGTTAGTTAGTTAGTCTTTCCTCTTGTGTCGAGTGCGGCACATAGGGCAGAGGTCGTGACTCTCCATGCACGGCGGTCCGTTGCAATCCGTTGTAGGTCTTGGATGTTTGAGTGGCCCATGAGCGAGCCTTCCCTGATGATAGTTCTACGTAGGGTTTCCCTTGGTCTTCCACGAGATCTTTTCCCCTGTGGTGTCCAAATGAGGGCTTGGTAAGGAAGTCTTGATTTATCCATTCTAAGGACGTGGCCGACATAGTTCCAGCGGCGTTTTCGTATAAAATTAGACACATACTCTTGCCTGGATTCTTGCCTTATTTGTGTATTGGTTCGGAAATCTGACCATTTGAAATTTAGTATTCTTCTAAGGCATTTATTTTCAAAACTGTCTAATTTTGTGTCTAGAGTTTTCGTTGATTTCCAACTCTCGCATCCATAGGTTAGTACTGGAATCACACAAGAATTGAAGATCTTGAGTTTTGTGTGTTTGCTAAGTGTCTTTGATTTCCAGATGTTAGACAGTTTATTGAAGGCACTAGATGCCAGTGCTATTCTAAATGATATTTCTGGTGCGGTATCTCCTGTAGATGACATCTTGCTCCCTAGATAAGTGAAACTGTTGACTTTTTCAAGGCTGTTGTTGTTCAGCGTGATATCAACTGAACTGTTGGTAAGGTCTAGAATTTTTGTTTTTGCGGTGTTAATTTTTTGTCTTGGCCTTAATAAAATCAGTCTCATTACTTAATTGTCAGACCTTGTATGTTGCCAAAGAAAAAAGTGTATTGCTATATTATTTTTAAGTCCCCACTGTTGTGAATTATGGATCCAGATATTTCACATTTATGACATCCAATTTCCTCATTTCATTAAAGAAGACACAAACAACAGAGTGCATTATTTATTACCTGACCTATTTCACTATATCTTGTCAGATAGCTGATTGCATATTTGAGCAAGGTGAAGCAAATCAGTTTATTCAAAAATACAAATATACCACACTCAGATATAACTGTTTTAACAGGGTATATGCAAATTTGAAACCAATTGTTCTTGATCTATGCAGCAATGAAAAAGCTGTCTGTCATTGATGACTTTTTTGTTCGCATTTACAAATTTGAAAGACTGCTTTAATTTCTTCATTGTTGATTGTAATTATAGTGCCACAGCATTTTTTCATATCCTCAAATACACAAGGGTATCTCACAATACATAGGAGTGGATGGGCGAGTGAATACAATGCTAGGCTCTTATGCAAAAGACCTGGGTTCTCTTCCCCAGTCAGATTATGGAAGTTTTTTCTATCAGAGGCAGAAATACAAATCTTGACCTTCACAGTGGTGACTGAACTAGCCATGCAGCCCTGAATCCTCAGATTCGAGACCCCTGTCCACTACTGCCTTATAAAGTTATCAAAACAGACATTAAAACAGACCTTACAATAATTATTTTAAAATATTTAATAGTTTATATTTCACTTGCTTTATCAGTGCTTATTATAGACATTTGTATGATTAATTATTTGTTCTAGTAATAATTATAAAAAAGCTAATATATAACTTATACATTTTCTGTTTCATTATGATTCATTTTAATATGATTCAGTCTTTTCATTCAGGGTTCAAATGATGAGTATCTGGAGCTATACATACAGTTTGGCTATGTGTATCTATTTTCGTCAGCATTTCCGTTAGCGCCCCTGTGGGCCTTGATAAACAATATTATTGAAATTCGCTCTGATGCCTTCAAATTCTGCCGAGTGTATCAGCGTCCTTTCCCTGAAATGGCAAGTAGTATTGGAGCTTGGCAGGTAAACAGTACTTAATTTTGTTATTAGTTTTTAAACTTTTCATAAACAAAGATTTTTAATAACAGATGCAAACAGTTTTCTTGATGAAAGAAATAATTCTTGTGAGATGAAAGTACATTAACTTCTTGGATTCAGGGATGCTGTTTAAATGCTGTGATAAAACCACTGTAACTCTTGGTGGAAAGACTGCAAATTAAAGGACCTCTGGTTCACATCATGAAACACTGGGTTTACAGAGATAGCCACATATTTGTAGATTAGTTAACACCTGATGCAGCTTATATTCTGCGACTGATTGTACTTCCCAGATTGTCTTCACAAATAGTGCCACTAAAGAATTGGGACACACACGTGCGCATGCACACACACACACATACACAGAATGGTTTTTTTTTTTTTTGGGGGGGGGGGGGGGTGTGCTGAATCTGTATTGTTATTCTTAATGGTACCACACAGACTCATTCCAGTAGAAAGTTGCACCAACTTCAGAGCAGAGGCAAAAGCCCTTCTTGCAGCGTTGCAGATTCTCAGTGGAAGGAACTAATAAAACTGCTATATTCACTGATTCTAAACCATATCTTATGCTTCAAACAGGACATTATCATCTATTGTGGGGGGAAATGTGAATGCTGTCCACAAGAACAGAACTAGTCCTGCTAGTAGGTAGATCAAGACATAAGGTCAAGGGACATAATTCAGATTTTTTTTTTTAAGATAGAACTGTTGGAATTTAAAGTTTTTAGAGGGGTGCTAGGTGGGAGTTTCTACAGCCAGAAAATACAGAAAAAGAAGAAAGATAACTGATTTTGAATCCCAATATTGCTATAATTGGGGGGGGGGGGGGAAGGGGCACTTCATTTGCAGAAATACATTTGTTTTATTTTATTTTAATAAGAAGCTTTTATCTAAGAGGGTAGAATGCAAAGG